TTAAACAGCTTCGATTTTATAGCTGGATTTGGGTGAGGTGATATGTTACAACAGTTTTGGATGAGGTGAAAAACTTTCAACACAAGACAGAACACGAAACAATTGGTATAATATTTTGTAAGTAAAAGGGAAGAATGGAGTAACTGCAAAAGGGCCTATTGGCCCATATTTCTTGATGCTTCTATATTGGTGCAGAATCTTGAAGTGGGGTAGAATATAGTTGTGCATTAATTGGCTGTTGATTGCTGGTGTTGACTTCTTAATGTGTAGTGCCTCGCAGATATCAAGCCGCCTGCTATCGCTGTATCTAACAATGATTTCCGTGTTTTTTTTAAGACTTCTCTGGTGATGGTCTGGTTGTGGTTAGAGATTTTATGTTCCTTAATGGAGCTCTGTTGCTTATGCATCGTTAATCGCCTGGAAAGAGATGTTGTTGTCTTGCCAATATACTGAATCCTTTGAGGCTTACAGTCCCCAAGAGGGCATTTGAAGGCATAGACGACATTGGTCTCTTTTAAAGCGTTCTGCTTTGTGTCTGGAGAGTTTCTCATGAGTAGGTTGGCCGTTTTCTTGGTTTTATAGTGGATCGTCAATTGTATCTTCTGATTTTTGTCTGTAGGGATAACGTTTCTATAACAATATCTTTCAGGACCCTTTCCTCTGTTTTATGAGCTGTGGAAAAGAAGTTCCTGCAAAATAATCTAATAGGGGGTACAGGTGTTGTGTTAGTTGTCTCTTCAGAGGTTGCATGGCGTTTCACCTTCATTCTTATGATGTCTTCAACGAAACCATTGGAGAAGTCGTTGTTGACTAGGACCTGCCTTACCCTACAGAGTTCTTCATCGACTTGCTTCCATCCTGAGCTGTGGCTGAGAGCACGGTCGACAAAAGCGTTAGCCCTCAAACCGCGCATATCATATATATATATCAGTGACAAAACCGAAACCGCGCACATCATTTATATATGATTTCGTGTCTAGCGCTATAGTTTAAACGCCCCGCCTGGGACAGGGGTAGTCATCGGCGAGCCTCAACCAAACAAACAAACCCCGCCTGGGAAAAAAATCCAGCGTGGGTCCCCTTTGTGTACAGAGCTCAGTTACCCGGCGGACACCATGGCGAGCGCATCACGTTCCGACGACCGACCCCGCTCAGCGAGACGTTCCTCGCGACCTCTGACCGAGGACGAAATTACTCGTAATTTGTTCCTGGATGGTGATGAGTCTGATATAGACGACTCAGACTTTGATCATGACTATACACAGCCCTCAGAGGTGGATACGACTGACGACGAGTGTGAACATGCTGGCTCCACCAGGGCTAGGCCTAGCATCTCGCCCATGCCTCCTCGCCCTCACTCCACCCCAATTTCAGCAAGACCACACAGTTCATGTGCTCCCTTGCAAGATATTGATGTTTTGCTCGACGATTCTGAAGGTGAATCATTTTCCGGTTTTAGTGACTTAGAATCGGAAAATAGTTTTGCTAGTGCCAGTGGAGGAGTGTGTGGTGTTGCCAAGCGACAATTTGTCGCGTCAGCAGCATCTGGCCAAGCCATGCGGCACCGCATGGCACCACATGAACAAAGACCATCAACATCGAGGAATTTTCCATCACCATCCCTGCCCGCCCCTACTGTTCCTAGACCTGCTTCAGCTTCTGGTACACAGTTTCCTCGCCGTGGTGCTGCTATTGGCTGTTATTTGTTATTTATACTGTTATTGTTCTTGTAACACTATTTACACATGTTATATATACCTATCTACATGTTTTATTTACCAGAACTATGCAAGTAAGCTGGTATTGTGTCCAAACAGTACAGTGGCTACCATTCACTGCATGAAATATCACACAGCAGACGACACTACTATTTAGAACGTCACCTCCCTCACCAAAATTGCTCCTCTCAACATTCTCCTGTTGCTGCTCTTACACTATATACACACACACTGTATATACCCATGTACATGTGTGATGCCCATAGCGAACCACTAAGCTAGTATGGTGAGCAAAGCAAGAGTGGCTGCCACACGCACACAATGAGGCTACCTCAATTCTCGCCCCTCCCTCTCTCACCAAAATTTCTCCTTCCACAATACTACGTGCAATACTAATTATAACCACAATACTGGTCACTAATTCCTGTAAATGAATAATTGACCACACGTTTATTTTGAAAAGGAACCTAAGACACTATATATATTTGAAGATTCCTAGATGGACGAAATAATGCTCTGGTGCTGTGGCTAGCGCTGTCAACATCACGAACAGCATTGAATCACTGATATTTGAACATTGGACCCAGTCATTATCACACTCAGGCTCTTCTATAATACTATCATGGCTAAATAATACAAGTTATATATATATATATATATATATATATATATATATATATATATATATATATATATATATATATATATTATATATATATATATATACAGTATATATATATATATATATACAGTATATATATATATATATATATATACAGTATATATATATATATATATATTATATATATATATATATATATATATATATATATATATATATATATATATATATATATATATATATATATATATATACTGTATATATATATATATATATATGCTAACAAGCCTGAATGGTCCCCAGGACAATATGCAACTGAAAACTCACACCCCAGAAGTGACTCGAACCCATACTCCCAGAAGCAACGCAACTGGTATGTACAAGACGCCTTAATCCACTTGACCATCACGACCGGACATAATGAGGTAATAGCCGAGGCTATTTGAACCACCCCACCGCCGGCACTCTGATAGTTATCTTGGGCATAGCATTTTACCAAATCACCTCATTCTTTGGGGCACACGTGAGGAACACAAATGCTAACAAGCCTGAATGGTCCCCAGGACAATATGCAACTGAAAACTCACACCCCAGAAGTGACTCGAACCCATACTCCCAGAAGCAACGCAACTGGTATGTACAAGACGCCTTAATCCACTTGACCATCACGACCGGACATAATGAGGTGATAGCCGAGGCTATTTGAACCACCCCACCGCCGGCACTCTGATAGTTATCTTGGGCATAGCATTTTACCAAATCACCTCATTCTTTGGGGCACACGTGAGGAACACAAAGTCCGGTCGTGATGGTCAAGTGGATTAAGGCGTCTTGTACATACCAGTTGCGTTGCTTCTGGGAGTATGGGTTCGAGTCACTTCTGGGGTGTGAGTTTTCAGTTTATATATATATATATATATATATATATATATATATATATATATATATATATATGTCGTACCTAGTAGCCAGAACGCACTTCTCAGCCTACTATGCATATATATATATATATATATAGGGGTCGAAGTGGGATTAACACCCACAGGCGCAACAAAAAAAAAATTCCAAATTTTTTTTTTCCTTTTTAATCTCTTTGTGTTCCCTGAGCACATGAAAAATAATAACAAAATTTAATTGCACTTACCGTTGACGTAAATGAGCCGAGAAGATCGGCGATGACGTCACGCCTGATCTTCGCTGGACCACTGTGCGCCCGGGGTGAGTCAGGTGTGACAGAGAAGGAGCCCAAGTTGCAGCAAATTTATTTTTGCGTTATTATTTACAGTATCTGGCGTATTTTACACCCATTTTTTTCACTTCAATAGGTTCAATTCAATAGGCTTCAATAGGTTTTTTCAATAGGTGTGGTTCAATATGTTCTCACAAGAAGATTTATAAACATAAAACTGTTGTCAATGTATATTGTATCCACATATTAGTGTCACAATTATTTGCACAAAAATGTCTTATTTCTCAATAAAATATACAATTTCTTATGATTTACTTCTGCTATATACACTCACTTATTCTGTATTTACATGTTTTGGCACCAGTCTTGGACATTTAGAAGTCATCAAGACTGTGATACTCGTTGAAACATTGGACGTAGCACAGAGCGACCTGACACGTTATGTACCAAGTCATCACCATTTTTCATTTCTGTTCCCTCTTGATTGTTCACCAGCATACTACACACGCATGCTGGCCTACTGCACGCTTTCCAGTTGGTGGTAAAAAGCTGAGACTGTGTGTCAAAAAGGCATCTGTGTAAGCGAGCCTGGGTGTTGGGGCATGGGGCAATACCGGGTTCAGAATGGGCCTCTGTACGCCAGGAATTAGTTTGCCAAACTTCTGTAGTAATTATGTTACTACAGTAAAATTGAATGCACGGAAATTACGTTTACCACCTGTTTTGACAAGATACATATTGTAACTGTTCAGCATTGTTACATCAACAAGGTGGAAAAACATTTTCTTGGTCCACTTCACTGTTTTCCATACACACTCTACTGCCCCAACATCACATCACATTTATCCACCAAACGCATGTTGATGTTATAGTCCAAGACACAATCTGGCTTATAGATTAGTTCTCTGGTGGTTCTGTTCACCTTGCCACTGTCCAGCATTGTTCCAGCGTGAATGGTGGTCAACATGTTCACTTCACGCCTGTCTTTCCCCCGCACTGAAAGTATTCCACCTGTTTTTCTGAGCTTGCAATCACCAACCTGCATAGCACCTGGAAACACTGGCATTTCCCTTCGTTTTGCCTTCACTGTGCCACAAACTCCAGTTCTATTATCAAGCAAGAACCTAGTTAGCAAGGGATTGGTATAATAGTTATCTGTGTATAATATGTGGCCCTTGTTCTGATATGGAGCAAGCAGTGCCTTCACAACACTCCCGGAGAAGCCATGTTGGTCATTAGCAGGAATGTCTACATTTGTACCCGTATACATTATCATGTGTAACACCATTCCTGATTCACAGTCACAGAGTACAAAGAATTTCAATCCAAATCAGTGGCGCTTGGAGGGAATATACTGCTTGAAGGCAAGACGTCCTTTGAAAAGCATAAGAGATTCGTCAATCACAAGCTTCTGAGCTGGTACGTAGAAATACCTGTACTTTCCGATAAGTTCATTCAGGACGTGCCTTACCTTCCAAAGTCTATCATCATTATTCCAGTCTTCATCATTTGCAAAGTGAAGACACCTGAGGATTATCGCAAATCGGTCGAGACATATATTTGCCGAACATCGGTGTTGGAACAGTATGGTCTTTGCTCCAATAATGCTCGATTACGTGTTTGACACAATGGTTAACAATGGTTATGGAACATACACAGTGCCTAAAAACACATACATTTCACCTACAGTCATATCTTTCCATCGCTGCTAACGTGAATAATCAGATAACTCCTCCTCATCAATGAGATGTCGCATATTTGTTCGTTTCATGAACAATATATTCCATTAGAGGCTCATCAAAATATGCAGTAAAATAGTCCATTTCACACATATCTGCACCTTTATCAGGGAAAATGTCTATAATTCCAACATCCGAATTATCAAAAACAGGAATTTGTGGAACAAAATCTGTCCCATCACTCCACACAAAAACACTGGGTGTCTTTCGAGAGCCAATAGCAGCACCACGACGAGGAAACTGTGGACCAGGAGCTGAAGCAGGTCTAGGAACAGTAGGGGCGGGCAGGGACAGTGATGGCAAATTCCTCGATGTTGAGGGTCTTTGTTCATGTGGTGCCATGCGGTGCCGCATGGCTTGGCCAGATGCTGCTGACGTGACAAGTTGTTGCTTGGCAACACCACACACTCCACTTGCACTAGCGAAACTATTTTTTGATTCTAAGTCACTAAAACCGGAAAATGATTCACCCTCTTCAGAATCGTCAAGCAAAACATCAATATCTTGCAAGGGAGCACATGAACTGTGTGGTCTTGTACAAATCGGGGTCGAGTGAGGGCGAGATGCTAGGTCTAGCCCTGGTGGAGCCAGCATATTCACACTCGTCATCGGTCATATCCACCTCTGAGGGCTGTGTGTAGTCATGATCAAAGTCTGAGTCGTTAATATCAGACTCATCACCATCCGGGAACAAATTCTTGTTAATTTCATCCTCGGTCAGAGGCCGCAAGGAACGCCTCGCTGAGCGGGGTCGGTCGTCGGAACTTGATGCGCTCGCCATGGTGTCCACCGGGTAACTGAGGACTGTACACAATGGGGACCCACACTGTATTTTTTTCACAGGCGGGGTTAATTTATGGTCGGTTGAGGCTCGCCTATGACTACCCCTATCCCACGCGGGGCATTTAAATTATAGCGCTAGACACGAAAGCATATATAAATGATGTGCGCGGTTTCAGTTTTGTCACTGATATCATATATATATGATATGCGTGGTTTAAGGGCTAAAGAGAGAGATACCAAATAATATACACATGAAAAATACTGGAAGCCCAGGTCCCAAATCTACACAGTAAAATAATAACGTACTGGTGTAAACGATATGGAAGAAAATGCAGAATAGAACCAGTGAAAAGCAAGTGCGCCACAGGCACAATCAGAGAACACTGTACAGTACAACCTCGATTCAATGTACTATATGGGACCGACCCAGGTGCGTTGGATTCCTTGCAAAAGGTGACCTTCAGGAGGCGTTTGCATCAGTTTTTTTTTCTTGTACACAATAAAAATGCATACTGTAACTATATATTATTACCCTACTAAAAAATACTGTTACATTTGTTATTTACCTTGTTGTAGCGACCCCATTATTCCTAGCGACGACACCAGCTGTACAACACGAGCAACGCTACTGGCAAGAGTGTCGGCCGCGAGACAATGTGGCTCCATTAGACCAGGGAGAGGCGAATTTCCAACAATTCTACGACAGGCCCTTGTTATTAAATTAAATTTACGTGATTTAGGAAATCAAGTATAATTTGATAGCCTCATGAACTTTAAATGAGAATAATTTTCTTGTTTAATCATCATTCAATATATTCTTGCTACTAACCAATTTATCTAATGTTTATTTGTTTATATCTTAGTAATAATAACTAATTTTATTCGAGGAGAACCAGCCTCGATGAAGCGTACTGGGAGTACTTTACTTCTGGTATTAACCCCCCATTTTGTGAAGGAGGGAAAGTTTACTCTTTGAATAGTAATTTAATTTACAGTCCATTAATGTTCAAGGAATAACTCTTAATAGTTACATTATCCACAGGCACTGGTATTTCAGTCCTTTTCTATTGTTCATTTATCTCTTTCCCTTTCCAGTAAAAATAGGGGGGTCCTTCGATTAATTTCAATCAATTAATTAAACATCAATATATTGAGAATAAGCTTTCTTCACAACACAAAAATATGGTCTCTTTGAACCGGATGTATTACAATTAATACCATATTCTATATCAGTTCTCAGAGAACACAACAAATTTAGTCCTCTTCGAATTTGATAGATAGCCGAGAATAAAGCTATCCTAATTGACCATAACTAATTACCGTGTGTAGTAATCTAGACTAACCATATTTTATTATGTGTGGCTATCGGCAGTGTACCACATGTTAGCCTAACTCTCACCAATTTATTTGCTGTCTATACCTCATGTATAAGGTAGCACTCGTGGGACATAGTCAGATGCCCACAACACTCAGACCTATACCTCACACTAAGGTATCTTCAGGTCACCAGGAGCAACAGCTCACAATTTCTATAACAACTCCACATTAACACCTGCGTTAGATTGTCCTCACCATCTAGCCATTATTTATCTAGGTGGTAATGACATCCATCCTACTCGACACCCAGCTGAGGTAATTAATCACCTTAAAACAATAACTTCCTCATTTAAACTTGTTAGCAGTTCTGTAGTGTTCATATTAGTGGAACCTCGCCAACTCGGCAATAATAATCTTTGAGGAGCGAGCCCAGAATATTACCAAAGGGCTGCCAAATTCATAAACTTTCGGCTGAGGAAAAGGGTACGATTGGATGCCACTTCCATTCAATTTACAGCCAGACCATACAGGCAAAACCTGGCAAGAGATGGTGTACACCTGTCAGGTGAGTCTAGGTCACATGAAGTTGACAAATTGGTCAACACAATCAACCATCATAAAAGGTTGTGGCTAGCAAGCCAAAATTAACTATGTATATTTTATATTTTCACCTGTGTGTGCAAGTACACATTTATATTATAAAATCTAAAAAAAACAAAAACACAGCACATATATATATATATTCACACTATTGCACCATTAATTAATTTATGCCAACCTTTATTAGGTAGGAATTTAGGCTGTGATTGTGCTGAGTTTTGCAAAAATGCAGACTAAATAACTTAGTAGTTTCTTTAGTAGAAATCAATTCAACTAGTCTTGAACTAGTCAGTAGTACATATATTATTCATTATTGTGCTGACCCTGCAACAGGGTGGGATTAATGTACCATTATTTACTCTTGTGCTGACCCTACCACAGGGTGGGATACAAAACCTTATATTAACTTTGATTAGAGTATATACAAATGTATATAAATCATTTTGTGTATTCATTATTTGTGTATATAAATTTTGAGTGCTGCTGAATGTTCACTATTACATCTAATGGTGATAATGAAGAGCTACCCAGAATAAATTCTAATAGTGACATTCAAGTACTACTCAAAATTCTTAGCTATTTATTGTTAGGTAGGTGCAGAAAACATACGTATGTTGAGGGATAAACGTTGCCAGGTTATTATTGCCCCCGAGCTGCAGACCACGAAGACAATAATCTTGAAGAGACTTGATGCAGGAATTACTGACGACACCCCTGAAAATATTAAACACGATATAGAACAGAGGAATGAGTGGGCCAAGGTAGAAGAGGTAATCCTCATGCCGAGATTGCCTACCATGATGAAAATAAGGTTCGAAGAAATCTCCATGGCACAGAAAGCCCTCAGCCAAGGTATTATCCATTGCAACTACTACCACCTTAGCACGGACAACTACAACCTTGAACAGGAGGAATACTATAACATTACCCCTTGTTGGACATGCTATAAATACGATCACACAGTAGCAGAGTGCAAACAAACGGGCAATGTATGTTCAGAATGTGCCGGGCAGGGACACACATACAGAGACTGCACAAATAAATCAAACCCCAAATGTCTCAACTGTGAGGGTCCTCACCGCACACTGGCATCAATATGTCCCACTAGGAAGGACATCCTAAAACAAAAAAGGGCCGAAGCCACAGCCAAAAAGACAGCAATGGCCGATAATACCTATGCATGTATAACTACCACCAATGCTTGGTCAAACAAGGTATCACATAATCCAGCAAACACTACCCCACACACTCCAACAAACATGACCTCACAGGTAAATGGGGACCTACCCACAAAGATCCTGAGCAGTATGATCTTTGCTCATTTAGAAAACATAGCAAATCCAGGGTCATTTGGATCCATAATTAAAGAAATGTACAAGAGGAATGGTCTCCCATTGATGGAATTCCCAGACACTCCCTCCTCCACTAAAATTATAAAAGCCCTGGTGGACAGTAATGTAGTCAGCACTACCCCAACTGTGACTAACTCCCAACAAGTGCCAGCACCCACGACTCCAGCAACCATCAACAAGCCAGAGGAAGACAAAACACCACCAGCAACTACCACTCAGGACCTCCGCAGAGGGCCCACACAAACAACAAAACATACAAGTACCACAGGGTACACAGGATCAGGGACACGCAACGGCTATCACTGTTTCCCGCACACCCACAGACAATGTTGCACACTCAAACCCAGTCACCCAAGCCTCAGTAGAGGTCCCAAACAAAATCAATTTCTTCTCAAGAAAAGCAACCCAGTTACCCTCAAGACTCTCCAAGAACAAATAAAAACTCAGCACATAAAATTCCAACACAACATTCCCGATGTCACTACGAGTGACGTGTACGACCGGATGATGACAGGTACTTTTCACCAAAACCAAAACCCCATAACCATTCAACAGATGAGAGGCGAGGAGTTTAACACAATGCGCAATGGTTATAGACCGATCCCAAACAATCCACAAGGTGGAAGAGACCCATCTGATTCAACATAGCCATCCAGTCATTAACAATAATTCAACACAATGTTCTATGTTGAACTCCGCACAGAGCATTGCAACTCGACAACCTGTACAGAGAAATAGACCCTGATATAATACAGTACTCATTAATAGCCATGGAAAAAAGAGTGGTGAGAAGATCAAGATCTTCAATTACAAAATTTATCAGGTCAACAGAGCTGACCAGGCCAACGATGGAGCGGCAATTGCCGTAAAAAGAAATATTCCACACAAAATTCTAGATAACTTTCAGGAGAACTTCCTGGCAATTGAACTCCAAACCACGAAAGGTATAATCTTCATAGGAACATGCTACCAACCACCAAGACGTCCTTACCTTCCCCTTGCCAACATCATGAAACTTACCAGAAGAAACAGACCTGCCTACTTTCTGGGAGATCTAAACACCAAGCACAGAATACTGGGACATGGAAGGAACAACCAAGCAGAAGCCATCCACAATATGATAAGGAACGGAAATCTAACCCACCTGGTCCCAGACTTCCCAACGTACGTCAGACAAGGACACAGTGGTAAACCAGACATAATACTGTACTGTCAAACCACCACCACCACTTCCTAAACACCCGCATAGAAAGGGGCCCTGTGAGCACAAACGACCACCTACCAATAATAATGACGCTCTCAACTAACCCCCATTCAGAAACCCTCACCACCAAGACTTCAATACACTAAAACTGACTGGGAAGCGTTCAAAACCAGTGCACAGGAAATCAGTCACAGGTTTTAATGGAAAGGAAACATCGTGCATAAACGCTGAGTTAAATACATGGATTAGCACCATAGAAAAATGCATGAATGATCACATCCCCGTAGCTCACCATATAACGCTCCCACACCCCCCCCCCCAGTCACTGATGCACTCAGGACACTGCAAACCAGATATAACAACCTTCTACAACTCATAACACAACACGGGTGGACGGATGAGCGCAAAAGACTACAAAGGGAACTACAAGATGAGCTGCAAGATCTATGCAAAACAGAGTACACCAAACAATGGGATGACCTAACAAGCAAAATTAAAGTTGACTACAGAAACCCAGGAAAGTTC